CAGCGTACACCGCCACACCCAGCTGTGCCCGTGCAGCAGGCCTCAGTCCTGCTCGCTCCTAATTAGCCGCTACTTCTGCATGAATGCGGCATCATCAAGGCCGCCGCATGCGTACATACATTTCGTTGACGCGAGAGCATGTTTGTACTTGCCCCCTTACACACGCTTAAGGAGCCCTAGTGCGGCCTGGCAGTATGTAGATGCAACCTGGAGAACCCCAAGCAACCAGACGCTTTCTCCAGCCCAATACAATATTCTGGCTCCTATTAAAGGGAAAGAAACCCGATTGCAGCTGGTTGTATCATCCATCCAGCTCCCTGCATGTCTGTTGGACCATGACCATCTTGCAGTTCCACAGCCGCAAACTCAAATGGTATGCATGGACTCCCAGCCGGTGGCTGAGCCTGCATGCCACGCAAGGTGATGATGGCAGCACAGCTAAGGCTTGGTACGTACCTGTATGCATGGCATGGGGATCGTGGGTGGAGGATACACCTGCCGGTGCAGGATTACACATGGCTCCCTGACTGGGTATGCAAGATCCAAGATACCGTCCTGGCTAGTAGTCTGGATCATAAAGAGTAATGTGCTGTGCAACGCCCCGCATAACAGCCCCGCACGGCAGGCCTTGTGCCTGTGCTTGATGATATTGGATTCCCCCCAACAGCCAACTGGAGTTGCACACCTGCACCCAGTTCCAAGCATGTGATCTCATTCCAGCATTGCAGGCACTTGGACGAGCGGCCAACCTGTCGCAGTGCACCGCAGCAAGAGGACTGCGCCCAGGGCCTGATGACATCACCCAGTTTCGATCTGGGGACCTCCTGTGTGTGAGACAGATGTGATTCCACTACACCATGATGTCGAAGCTAGGCACAGCACGCCCCAGCATCCGCTCTCCGGCGCTATAGGCTTACACAACATCACGCACACCCACTTACACCCACTTACACACACAGGCACAGGCACAGGCGTCATGTTTCACGCACAGCGTACACCGCCACACCCAGCTGTGCCCGTGCAGCAGGCCTCAGTCCTGCTCGCTCCTAATTAGCCGCTACTTCTGCATGAATGCGGCATCATCAAGGCCGCCGCATGCGTACATACATTTCGTTGACGCGAGAGCATGTTTGTACTTGCCCCCTTACACACGCTCTAAGGAGCCCTAGTGCGGCCTGGCAGTATGTAGATGCAACCTGGAGAACCCCAAGCAACCAGACGCTTTCTCCAGCCCAATACAATATTCTGGCTCCTATTAAAGGGAAAGAAACCCGATTGCAGCTGGTTGTATCATCCATCCAGCTCCCTGCATGTCTGTTGGACCATGACCATCTTGCAGTTCCACAGCCGCAAACTCAAACGGTATGCATGGACTCCCAGCCGGTGGCTGAGCCTGCATGCCACGCAAGGTGATGATGGCAGCACAGCTAAGGCTTGGTACGTACCTGTATGCATGGCATGGGGATCGTGGGTGGAGGATACACCTGCCGGTGCAGGATTACACATGGCTCCCTGACTGGGTATGCAAGATCCAAGATACCGTCCTGGCTAGTAGTCTGGATCATAAAGAGTAATGTGCTGTGCAAAGCCCCGCATAACAGCCCCGCACGGCATGCCTTGTGCCTGTGCTTGATGATATTGGATTCCCCCCAACAGCCAACTGGAGTTGCACACCTGCACCCAGTTCCAAGCATGTGATCTCATTCCAGCATTGCAGGCACCTGGACGAGCGGCCAACCTGTCGCAGTGCACCGCAGCAAGAGGACTGCGCCCAGGGCCTGATGACATCACCCAGTTTTGATCTGGGGACCTCCTGTGTGTGAGACAGATGTGATTCCACTACACCATGATGTCATAGCTAGGCACAGCACGCCCCAGCATCCGCTCTCCGGCGCCCTAGCCTTACACAACATCACGCACACCCACTTACACCCACTTACACACACAGGCACAGGCACAGGCGTCATGTTTCACGCACAGCGTACACCGCCACACCCAGCTGTGCCCGTGCAGTAGGCCTCAGCCCTGCTCGCTCCTAATTAGCCGCTACTTCTGCATGAATGCGGCATCATCAAGGCTGCCGCATGCGTACATACATTTCGTTGACGCGAGAGCATGTTTGCACTTGCCCCCTTACACACGCTCCTTATGTAAGGAGCCCTAGTGCGGCCTGGCAGTATGTAGATGCAATCTGGAGAACCCCAAGCAACCAGACGCTTTCTCCAGCCCAATACAATATTCTGGCTCCTATTAAAGGGAAAGAAACCCGATTGCAGCTGGTTGTATCATCCATCCAGCTCCCTGCATGTCTGTTGGACCATGACCATCTTGCAGTTCCACAGCCGCAAACTCAAACGGTATGCATGGACTCCCAGCCGGTGGCTGAGCCTGCATGCCACGCAAGGTGATGATGGCAGCACAGCTAAGGCTTGGTACGTACCTGTATGCATGGCATGGGGATCGTGGGTGGAGGATACACCTGCCGGTGCAGGATTACACATGGCTCCCTGACTGGGTATGCAAGATCCAAGATACCGTCCTGGCTAGTAGTCTGGATCATAAAGAGTAATGTGCTGTGCAAAGCCCCGCATAACAGCCCCGCACGGCATGCCTTGTGCCTGTGCTTGATGATATTGGATTCCCCCCAACAGCCAACTGGAGTTGCACACCTGCACCCAGTTCCAAGCATGTGATCTCATTCCAGCATTGCAGGCACCTGGACGAGCGGCCAACCTGTCGCAGTGCACCGCAGCAAGAGGACTGCGCCCAGGGCCTGATGACATCACCCAGTTTTGATCTGGGGACCTCCTGTGTGTGAGACAGATGTGATTCCACTACACCATGATGTCATAGCTAGGCACAGCACGCCCCAGCATCCGCTCTCCGGCGCCCTAGCCTTACACAACATCACGCACACCCACTTACACCCACTTACACACACAGGCACAGGCACAGGCGTCATGTTTCACGCACAGCGTACACCGCCACACCCAGCTGTGCCCGTGCAGTAGGCCTCAGCCCTGCTCGCTCCTAATTAGCCGCTACTTCTGCATGAATGCGGCATCATCAAGGCTGCCGCATGCGTACATACATTTCGTTGACGCGAGAGCATGTTTGCACTTGCCCCCTTACACACGCTTAAGGAGCCCTAGTGCGGCCTGGCAGTATGTAGATGCAACCTGGAGAACCCCAAGCAACCAGACGCTTTCTCCAGCCCAATACAATATTCTGGCTCCTATTAAAGGGAAAGAAACCCGATTGCAGCTGGTTGTATCATCCATCCAGCTCCCTGCATGTCTGTTGGACCATGACCATCTTGCAGTTCCACAGCCGCAAACTCAAATGGTATGCATGGACTCCCAGCCGGTGGCTGAGCCTGCATGCCACGCAAGGTGATGATGGCAGCACAGCTAAGGCTTGGTACGTACCTGTATGCATGGCATGGGGATCGTGGGTGGAGGATACACCTGCCGGTGCAGGATTACACATGGCTCCCTGACTGGGTATGCAAGATCCAAGATACCGTCCTGGCTAGTAGTCTGGATCATAAAGAGTAATGTGCTGTGCAAAGCCCCACATAACAGCCCCGCACGGCAGGCCTTGTGCCTGTGCTTGATGATATTGGATTCCCCCCAACAGCCAATTGGAGTTGCACACCTGCACCCAGTTCCAAGCATGTGATCTCATTCCAGCATTGCAGGCACCTGGACGAGCGGCCAACCTGTCGCAGTGCACCGCAGCAAGAGGACTGCGCCCAGGGCCTGTTGACATCACCCAGTTTCGATCTGGGGACCTCCTGTGTGTGAGACAGATGTGATTCCACTACACCATGATGTCGAAGCTAGGCACAGCACGCCCCAGCATCCGCTCTCCGGCGCCCTAGCCTTACACAACATCACGCACACCCACTTACACCCACTTACACACACAGACACAGGCACAGGCGTCATGTTTCACGCACAGCGTACACCGCCACACCCAGCTGTGCCCGTGCAGCAGGCCTCAGTCCTGCTCGCTCCTAATTAGCCGCTACTTCTGCATGAATGCAGCATCATCAAGGCCGCCGCATGCGTACATACATTTCGTTGACGCGAGAGCATGTTTGCACTTGCCCCCTTACACACGCTCCTTATGTAAGGAGCCCTAGTGCGGCCTGGCAGTATGTAGATGCAACCTGGAGAACCCGAAGCAACCAGACGCTTTCTCCAGCCCAATACAATATTCTGGCTCCTATTAAAGGGAAAGAAACCCGATTGCAGCTGGTTGTATCATCCATCCAGCTCCCTGCATGTCTGTTGGACCATGACCATCTTGCAGTTCCACAGCCGCAAACTCAAACGGTATGCATGGACTCCCAGCCGGTGGCTGAGCCTGCATGCCACGCAAGGTGATGATGGCAGCACAGCTAAGGCTTGGTACGTACCTGTATGCATGGCATGGGGATCGTGGGTGGAGGATACACCTGCCGGTGCAGGATTACACATGGCTCCCTGACTGGGTATGCAAGATCCAAGATACCGTCCTGGCTAGTAGTCTGGATCATAAAGAGTAATGTGCTGTGCAAAGCCCCGCATAACAGCCCCGCACGGCAGGCCTTGTGCCTGTGCTTGATGATATTGGATTCCCCCCAACAGCCAACTGGAGTTGCACACCTGCACCCAGTTCCAAGCATGTGATCTCATTCCAGCATTGCAGGCACCTGGACGAGCGGCCAACCTGTCGCAGTGCACCGCAGCAAGAGGACTTCGCCCAGGGCCTGATGACATCACCCAGTTTCGATCTGGGGACCTCCTGTGTGTGAGACAGATGTGATTCCACTACACCATGATGTCGAAGCTAGGCACAGCACGCCCCAGCATCCGCTCTCCGGCGCCCTAGCCTTACACAACATCACGCACACCCACTTACACCCACTTACACACACAGACACAGGCACAGGCGTCATGTTTCACGCACAGCGTACACCGCCACACCCAGCTGTGCCCGTGCAGCAGGCCTCAGTCCTGCTCGCTCCTAATTAGCCGCTACTTCTGCATGAATGCAGCATCATCAAGGCCACCGCATGCATACATACATTTCGTTGACACGAGAGCATGTTTGCACTTGCCCCCTTACACACGCTCCTTATGTAAGGAGCCCTAGTGCGGCCTGGCAGTATGTAGATGCAATCTGGAGAACCCCAAGCAACCAGACGCTTTCTCCAGCCCAATACAATATTCTGGCTCCTATTAATGCCGTACGTGTCAGGTCTGTACGTCGGGTAAGGTTGAGGATGAATATCATGTGCTTATGGAGTGTGAGGCGTATACTGAGTTGCGTAATAGGTTTCTGATTAACGTTGAAGATACTGATATGCGCAAGGTATTTCTTAATACCAATCCGAGGAAAATCGCTACTTTCCTTACTGAGGTTTTTGATGAGCGTCAACAGCGTGCTCTGGAGCCTCACGGCTCGTGAGGGCACCCGCCGCGTCGGCGGCGGAAATACTGTAAACACACTCACACACACACACACACATTAAAGGGAAAGAAACCCGATTGCAGCTGGTTGTATCATCCATCCAGCTCCCTGCATGTCTGTTGGACCATGACCATCTTGCAGTTCCACAGCCGCAAACTCAAACGGTATGCATGGACTCCCAGCCGGTGGCTGAGCCTGCATGCCACGCAAGGTGATGATGGCAGCACAGCTAAGGCTTGGTATGTACCTGTATGCATGGCATGGGGATCGTGGGTGGAGGATACACCTGCCGGTGCAGGATTACACATGGCTCCCTGACTGGGTATGCAAGATCCAAGATACCGTCCTGGCTAGTAGTCTGGATCATAAAGAGTAATGTGCTGTGCAAAGCCCCGCATAACAGCCCCGCACGGCAGGCCTTGTGCCTGTGCTTGATGATATTGGATTCCCCCCAACAGCCAACTGGAGTTGCACACCTGCACCCAGTTCCAAGCATGTGAGCTCATTCCAGCATTGCAGGCACCTGGACGAGCGGCCAACCTGTCGCATGCACGATGTGTTCCACGTCTCCAAACTGAGAGCCTACAAGGCTGTCAGCAACACGCTGCCCCCACCTGCCATCTCTGCAGCTGAGGGCGAACCCCTACTTGTGGTACATGGACGAAATCCACGCCCACCGGCAGTCTCACAGCAGATGCCGCATCATCATGGAGTATCTCGTATGGTGGCACAAACTGTTTCCCGAGTATGACTCCTGGGAATCCACAAAGGACTGCAACCAAGGTTGCCCCGATGCAGTTCGTGCATGCCTGCGTGCTTAAGGCACGCCACTGCTATACACGTCTATCCCACTCATGGGGCCTCGATGTTGGGTTTACAGTCAGGAAATGTAACACTGCTAAGGCAGAAGCCCAACGGTCATCTCTACCAACGGTAAGCCTGTGAATATTAATAACTCTTACTACCAACCGGTATTTGTCAATACCACAACTATCGGACTCTGAAATCTTACTGTACTTCTGTGTTACTTCACTGGGCATGTACCGGTTATGGACGGGCTTTGTGTAGCAAGCTACATTTACCTTTTAGAATATTAAAGCTTAATCACATTAACGGTAAGTTACTGAAATTACGAACCGTACTCATTAACTGTACGAACTTACTTTTGTCATGCTGACACAACGTAGTGTACGACATTCGCACTACAGTAAGACTCCAGCAATTGAGATGGAGGCAGGTGGGCCGCATTTAAGCCACCCTCGTGAAGTGCTTCGGCAAGAAACTTTCATATCATTAATAAATAATATGATTCATTATATTAGTGTTCGGAGTTCGAGACTCTGCTGTCACCATTCCCTAAGGCACTGATTGGGTGGGTAACCCATGGGTTACCCATCGGTTACCCACCTTCAACCCCCCGTAGCCCATATAAATAAAATGTACATGTTGAACCTACAGTATCCCGGTAGCTCGGGAAGCATCGTTCGCCAATATGAATTAAAGGCCTCTAACGCTACAGGAAAATTTTAGTAGAAGATTTAGAACTATGTATGTATTCAGTTCTAGCGTTTGTTCCCGCTTTGAGGGCATGAAACTCCCGTGCCGTATTATTGTCCCTAATAAGATTATTCATTCGCATTCATACAGTTCGAAGTGGATTGGGGAACGCAATTTAGCTTGAAATCCATTGTGTCTCTGGCTAGTTCTGAAAAGAAATCAATCGTGGATTGACAAGTTTCCCTTTCCCTTCTTCGCCGGTCAATCGCAGACACCTCCGCGCCAGGCTCTGCCAGCTGCAGGCTTGTGGCAAACGGCCGCTGAGGGGCGACTGGACAGCCGGCGGGCCGGGACGGGGTTGGTTCGGTCGAGTCTTTTAGCCCAGTAGTGTGGCCTTGAGAGCTCAGAAGGGATAGTGCTTGGTGTAGGGGGAAACTAGTCAGCTTAACCTGCAGGGATTTCCCGGGTC